TTTTCTTCAACGTTTTTATTTATTTTTGGGACAGAGAGAGACAGAGCATGAACGGGGGAGGGGCAGAGAGAGAGGGAGACACAGAATCGGAAACAGGCTCCAGGCTCCGAGCCATCAGCCCAGAGCCTGACGCGGGGCTCGAACTCACAGACTGCGAGATCGTGACCTGGCTGAAGTCGGACGCTTAACCGACTGCGCCACCCAGGCGCCCCTAAACATTTCAAAGAAATAATTCTTTACAAAATTCTGAGATTAAAGGCCAATTGCCAATTAAGTTACAGTTTAAAAATAACTCTAAAAAAATTTCAAGCCTGAAGAACAGAGCTAAGATAGGATCACTCATTAACTATATGGATATCTCAAAATCAGACTTGAGATGTATCTGGTAAATTCTAAAAATATGAGTTTTTGAAGATTTTTTAATGTGTAATCTCTTTTAAACAAATATGATCCTGAAATCTCATATAGAACAAAAATAATGAAAACAACTTAAAAACAAAACCTGGCATTGTATACATTAAACACTGTAAAAGAAAATATCTTGACAAAATGTCAATACATCACTGTGATGATAAAAATCACTATATGGTAGAAAGGATAATTCAATAACTTGAAAAATGTAATTATTATAAAATCTTCTCAGAAGTGTTTAGGTTGGGATTACAGTTCTCTTCTCAGCAGACCTGTGATCCAGCAATGAATTCATATAGAAGGCTAAACTTTAAGCCCAGTTAAAAACAACCATGTTTTCTATATCCCACTTGAAAAACTTGTTGGCAAAACATATCTAAATACTCAGCCTTTATACCTCTTACAGGAGGAAACAATGTTCCCCATACAGTACTAAATTATAGTACAAGTTTAGTGTTTAAAAAGAACTCCCCTAATGCTAACTAGTGCAGCCACTCTGGAAAACAGTCTGGAGGTTCCTCAAAAAATCAAAAGTAGAACTACTCTACACCCCAGCAATTGCACTACTAGGTATTTAACCAAAAGATATAGGAGTGTTGTTTCAAAGGGGCACATGCACCTCAATGTTTATAACAGTGTGTCAACAATAGCCAAAGTATGGAAAGAGTCCAAATGTCCATCAACTGATGAATGGATAAAGAAGATGTGGTATATATATATATAGAGAGAGAGAGAGAGAGAGAGAGAATAGAATACTACTTGGTGATCAAAAAGAACGAAATCTCGCCATTTGCAACAACATGGATGGAACTAGAGTATACTATGCTAAGCGAAATAAGTCAGAGAAAAACAAATATCATATGACTTCACTCACATGTGGAATTTAAGATACAAAACAGATGAACATAGGGAAGGGAAGCAAAAATACTATAAAGACAGGGAGGGGGACAAACCATAAGACTTTTAAAAACAGAGGACAAAACTAAGGGTTGCTGGAGGGTTTGTGGGTGGGGGAGATGGGCTAAATGGGTAAGGGGCATTAAGGAAGAGACTCGGAATGACCACTGGCTGTTATATACTGGGGATTAATCACTGGAATCTACTCCTGAAATTATTGCACTATACGCTAGCTAACCTGGATGTAAATTTAAAAAATTAATAATAAAAAAAACCTCCCCTCATCCAAAACAAAAGGAAATCCCCCCAAAAAATCCCAACAGCTCTTATTAAGATTTCTAACCCCTACACTCTTGCAATGAGAAAACTCAGAAGACTCTTATTTTCTATTCACTATTCTGCCCTCATTTAGTAACATTTATATAAAAAGTACAAAGATGATTTAACGGTAATCCACTCCTCTCATGAAAAAAAAAAGATTCAAGGAGTTAATCCCTCATCTCTGAGGTCACATTATCAAGGGTACCTGGGTATTGCAAATGTTCCCCGATGTTATTCTCAAGCATTATCAGGTGGCTGAACCAGAGTATAAGAAAGTTTATATTCTCAGAGGCAGTGTTATAAAACTCAGTTAATATTTATCTATTTACACTGACAGCTCCAGATGGAGAGTGTATTTACACAAATACTAGATGGCAAATTCTGCCATTTTGCCTCTAATCATATTTATTTTTACCTAATAATCACACATACGCATATCATGCCATCTGTGGGAACTTAGACAAAAAAATTCAATGTCTTAGTAAAATAAAAGTTTTTAAGTAGCTAATCCTTACTTCTTTCCAATTTAAAATTCTGTGTCTCTATGATTTTGTCTACACAGAGAAGACTGGGTTCTAGGCTTCACAAACTTTGAAATGGAAATCACTTACTGTACTTGGCCCCATCTAGTGCTGCCACTGCTTTTTCCAAGCAATTCCTGGTGGGGTTTCCAGAACGACTATATTCAAAACCCTGAAGAAAAGAAATGAGAGTTAATCCTAAGAGATTTACGTTTAGTTATCAGTGTCCTAACACAGCCACCTCCACAACTACAGGTTCATCCTACCATAATGAACTTCTATTATTTAGTTATGACATGTCTTGCCATTAAACAGGAACAATACTGTGGCTGCAGCCAGTGTGATTAGAATTAGGTATCTGCCGCTTATGAGCTGTATGCCAAATAGGTAAGTTACTTAACGTTTCCTAGAGTGAGCTCAGTACCTATAAAATGGGAATAAAACACAGAAAAATAATTCGTAAAACTGTTGTGATGATAAAACTATGTAATGTTGGGGCGCCTGGGTGGCGCAGTCGGTTAAGCGTCCGACTTCAGCCAGGTCACGATCTCGCGGTCCGTGAGTTCGAGCCCCGCGTCAGGCTCTGGGCTGATGGCTCAGAGCCTGGAGCCTGTTTCCGATTCTGTGTCTCCCTCTCTCTCTGCCCCTTCCCCGTTCATGCTCTGTCTCTCTCTGTCCCAAAAATAAATAAACGTTGAAAAAAAAAAAATTTAAAAACTATGTAATGTATAATACATTTGCTCCATGGTGACTGGCACATGCTAACTACTAGAAAAGTGGTTGTTTTTATTAGTAGTAGTATTACTATGTTAGACTCACCTTTACCCGTTCACCTGGGGGCATCAGGAAAAGGGAATCACTAGAGCAAACAGACTAAACTTACTTCTACCCTGTATTTCATTTTCTAAGAAATCAGTGGTACAAGTCCTGTTTAGCAACCTACAAGAATCTATCAACAGATCCCACAAATGCTCAAAGTTCAGATCTTGGCTCTCCAGAGCAACTCGAAAATATGGAGAGTAATTCTTGGCAAAGTGGCTACACACAATTTTTTTAATTCGCTCCTTTTACATGCACCGTACTAGCTATGTTCATCTAGTCATTTCATTTAATCCTCGTGCTCTGCTTCTACAAAAGTGAAGCCAAAGGCCATGGAGAACATCAGAGCCAGTATTCAAACCCAGGATGTAAACATTGACTAAAAATATAATTTTCTCCCCATGCCTCATATACCACATAACAAAACACATTGTTTCTGATTTGGGAGCCCAGGTATTAATAATATATACATAGGGGCGCCTGGGTGGTGCAGTCGGTTAAGCGTCCGACTTCAGCCAGGTCATGATCTCACGGTCTGTGAGTTCGAGCCCCGCGTCGGGCTCTGGGCGGATGGCTCAGAGCCTGGAGCCTGTTTCCGATTCTGTGTCTCCCTCTCTCTCTGCCCCTCCCCCGTTCATGCTCTGTCTCTCTCTGTCCCAAAAATAAATAAAAACGTTGAAAAAAAAAATTAATAATATATACATATATATATTTTTTTAAGTTCTGTTGCTTTGTCTGTTTCCTTGTTTTTGACAAACTGAGTTGACCTATTTTATAGGTTTCCAAGATATCCTCCACCCTCCCTCCCATCACCTCCTTGATGTCACCTGCAGCTGCACTCCCCAGACAAAAAAATGTTTGGATTCATGTGGCCACTGCCACAGAAAGGCACCCCATGTTTCCATAATTATTCACTGCGGAGATTTAACTTTTTTTGCGGGGGGGAGGGAAGGAGAAGTATATCTCAGTGGCAAATTCCCACCCTCTCACCCATTCTATGGCTTTCCAAATGGAACAGGAGAAATAGATGCTTCTCATTCAGCTCCTCAGATTGTCTTTAGCGCTCTCAACTGAGTTTTTAAAGGTATTAACAGGATTTTACCTGGATTTTACCATCCCTGCTGGCTCTCTGAAAATACTTAATTATTAATATCTAGTTAAATGGTTAATTTTCCACCAAGAGCTCAAGATTGGGCAGCCACACATTCACAAAATCCTACATCAGCAACAGACTGCATGCTTGGAAAACAGATTGTATAACACGTTTTGATTCCAAAATACAGTAGCTAGAAGTATCCTAAACCAACTGTAGAAATGCTCTTTGAATTCTATCTCACAGGGGCTCAGTAGGTTAAGTGTCCAACTTCGCCTCAGATCATGATCTCACGGTTCCTGGGTTTGAGCCCTCCTTTGGGCTCTGTGCTGACAGCTCCGGGCCTGGAGCCTCCTACTCACACTCTTCACTCTCTCTCAAAAATAAATAAACTTTAAAAAAAAAAAGGTTTTTTTGAAAAGAATTCTACCTCACAAAACAAAGAGTTAAGTTTAAAATAATTTTTCTAGATTTATATAACATAACACAATAAAGAGGTTTTTGAAATATAATCAAGGCTTTGGACCTAACAAGGTTTATTTAATCAATTTCCTTAAAAGCTCAGCAATTTTACATACTTCAAGATCCCCTCGATGTGTTATCAAAAGGGAGTAACAAAAAGAATCCTCCTTCAGAGCCTTGTAAGTCATTTATCTCTAACTCTGGGTCAGTTCCTTCTGTATAAAACTTGTGTAATACCTGTCCTGCCCTCTGACCTGGGGAAAGTGTGAATGTGAACACCGTGAAATACCCACCTACTGAACAATTATACTGTATGATAAAGCTTAACATATGTATCAACAATTCATGTGGTAAATACTATTATTAACCCATTTACTCAGGATTAACCTGAGGCTTGGATAGGTTAAGCAACTTGCTCAAGGTCACCCAGATCAGAAGAAGTGGTGTTAGAATTCACACCTAGCTCCTCAGACCAGGTGATTTGTGCTCTTAATCACTAAGCCTCACTGCATAAATGATGCAATGGGTTAGATTATTACTAGTATTATTGGAGTAGAGCAGAGTGTAGCCTAATGTCTAAAAGCAGGGTTCTAGAGCAGAGTTGGAATCCTAGCTCCACCACTTACTAGCCATGTGGCCTTAGGCAATAGTTACTTAACACTCTTAAATCTGTTTCTTCCTGAGAAAAATGAATACCTAGTTCCCACTAGGGCTGTTGTGAGAATTATCCCAGAGCATACTTGAAATACATATGATATACTATGTGTAAGTCTGTATCTAGCCCATAGCAAGTACTCAATAACTATTAATAACAATACAGCCATTGGGCATGATCTTGATTCTAGGTGAGTTATCAGATCCCGAGTTGTTTTTTGGGTTTGTTTTTTTTTTTGGTTGACTCCCTAGTATGTCTTTATAATTTCTGCTGCTGAAAGTGATTCAACAAAGTTATGACCCTCAGTTTTGAACTGCAAATTTCCCAAAATTACATGAATTTCAGTTTAAATCTACATGGCAAGTTGGTCATACTGTTCCTTCCAGTCCTGCTTTATCAAAAGAAATGTGATCACTTGACCATCAAATACAAAGATTTAATGCAAGGAAGATTACAGGTGTAGTAAACATCTTTTGGGGATGCAAAGTGGCTACACACAATATTTTTTTTAATTTGTATAAGCCATCTTATAAATTATTTACATGCCTTTTTATGTATAAGCCATCTCTCATTTCCCGCCCAACCCCTGACCCCCATCCACCCACCTCCCCAGCCAGACCCAGCTTACCGAGTGATGGCCGGGAGCCTCTTGCTTGAACGTGGTGGACAGTGAAATGGGGGGCACCACAGCATGGGAGGTCCATTGCTCGGGTTCCTGGCCCACATGGATGGCCTGCGTGGCGAAATGTTGGAAGCGAGGCTGGAAACCGTACGGGGAGGCGTCTTTTTCCTGCATCCTGAGCTGCGCGGGAGGGAAAGAGAAAGAAGGCGAGGAAGATAAAACTAGACAACTGGTACGACGGGCCTGAAAGAGACACAAGACTAGACGAACGAGAGCCAAAGAAACGGCGGGTGAACCACCGCGAGCGCACAAAAACCGGGCTCCCCGATTCAGTGCCTGACACTTTAGTAGCCGGCCGGGAGCTTTGCATTTACCGCAGGCGGAACCAGAGAGACCCAATGAGCTAAGGCCCCGACGCGGCCCCTGTTCCTCATTGGCCGGAAGCGGAGGCGTTGCCTGGAGCGTCGTTGGGACCGCCCTTCCCGGTGCTGAAAGTGGAGTGAAGCGGGAGTCAGTGTGTCCACGTGGTGTTAGTCCCTGCGGGCGAAATTCCTGACTCCGGCCCTGCGGGAGGCTGCCATACTGGCTCCAGAGAGCCACCGAGGCGTCTGTGTGACCTCAGGGCAGAGGTTCGCCGGAGCCCGGGAGAAAGGCTGGCTCAGTTTGAAACCGAGTAACCTGTAAACAGGCCACACAAATAGCTTCCCCTTACTGTGTAGCCAGTGTCCCTGACCCCATCCCCAACCCCCTTTGCCCTAGGGCGATGCTGACCTGACGCTAGCAACCAAGTGGAGATTCCAACGAAAACCGCGGCGCAATCTGCCATATCTGCAGCTTGGATTCTCATTAACTTCGGCAGCCTGCCTTTTAAAGTACACTGAACTTTGTAATGACCCAGTACTTGCAATGATGGAAACATGAGTGAGGGTCATATTTTTCTTAAGGGCAAAGCTGCTGTAGTGAGGATCTCTAATCAGAACTTTGGCAGCTTAATTTGAGTTTAAAATTAAAAGCTTAAAAGCCGAATTTGAGTTTTTTTCGAGACCCGGAGAAACTCTCCCTGATGAAAAAGAGTGTGTGGCTTCAAAAAACTTATTGGAGCCTGAAATCCTTACACAAAATGACTTCACTGTTGCACAACTGACAGCCACATCCTGGTAGGAAAAAGGAAGCAATCCCCTGTGGCGATTTACTACTCACCTGCACCCAGAGTCCTACTCTCAAGGATCACTCATTTAAAAGAAACAACAAAAATCTCCTTGTTCCCTAAACAATACAGATTTGACCTACTTACTATTGTGACTGTTTTCTAGGATTGGGGAATTTAGGAATATTTCTGTTCCCACAAAATATTAGCTAAAGATCTGAAAACTTTATTAAGCCATCAAGAAAGAAGAGATTACAGAATAAACAGTTCTTAAAATTTTACTGGAAAGACCAAGGCAATTTGCTTTTCAAATTAGCTTCAGGGACACTCAGCCATTAAACACTAGAGGAGCGGTGTGAGAGGGTCTGAAAACTTTTAGAGGCCTACCAAAATGTGTATGCCTGGGAGAAAAAAATGGATGGACTCCAAAACACTAATAGATATTAATATCTATTTAATTAATATTTTCTATTTAAAATATAGCATGTCAACTCAAGAGGTATATATAACTATACATGGGTATGTTTTTATGTGATATGCTTAGGGACCGGGAGGTTCTAAATAGTCCTCATTAGTTTACCTCCTAATATTTATGAGCAAAACCTGAATTGTATAAATATGGATTTTTTTTTTTTTTAGTGTTACTGTAAGAAAGGATTCTTTAAAAGATAGCACCAATATAAATGTTCTATGTTATGCCTTCTTTTACTCTTATAAACTGAGGAGACTGGGGGTGCCTGGAGCGGCTCAGTCAGTTAAGCGTCCAAATTTGGTTCAAGTCATGATCTTTCAGGTTTGAGCCCCACAAGTTGGAGCCCCGCGTCTGGCACTGTGCTGACAGCTCAGAGCCTGGAGCCCGCTTTGGATTCTGTGTCTCCCTACTCAAGCTCTGTCTCTCTCAAAAATAAGTAAACATTAAAAAAAAATTTTTTTAACATTAAAAAAATAAAATTAAAAAATTGTTTAATAAATAAATTGAGGAGACTTTCTTCGATGATCGTTTAGTATTCTGTATCAGGGATTCTTATGACTCATGAATTGTAGGAATTTATCTTTCATATGTATTCCTACGTGTGTGAAGATGAGCCAGGACGTTCTTTATACCTGTTTTTTGCCATTTTTAATATCAAAAGAATAGAAAACAGCTTAGCTTCCAACCATAGGAGACTGGTCAGTCAGTTATGGCATAGTTCTGTGATAGGTACAGTTTGGCAGAGAAGCAGGAGATGAGATGAGGTGGTATGATGTGATCTCTAATTTCTGAGACAGCAAAGCAAAGTATATGTTATGCTTCCACTTTTGTCAAAAGAGTATATAACGTGCTGCATTATTTTTAGACAGATATATATGATTTAATGTGTATAAAAATCGTTCTGGTAGTAGAGACCATGGATCTGTAGTAGAAAGAGAACGTTCTTTACGTTTTATTTGCTTTGGTGTTCAAGTTTTATGCCATGGGCATATTTTACCTTTTCAACAATAATAATACCAAAAGTTCTAAGTTTGAAATTGTAGTTAAGCAAGTTATTTAGCAAAAAAGTTTTTAAATAAATATAAAAGGTAGCCGCTTTATAGTAAATCTACATAGTTTGGGGTGTATGCTAATTTTTCATGTAAATTAGCTTGTAAACAACAAAATAGCATCAACATACCTACTGAAATACTATTAATTCCTCCCGAGACTGAGATTCAGCATGGGCATATATTTTAGAGGAAATGGGAGACTTCTCATTGTTTACATGTTTTCACTCTTTAATCGTTTTATGTAACACAAAGTTCATTATTACTTTTATAGTATATACTTTGTAAAACCTATGAAAATGTCACTGTGCTTCTTGCATATATACACAGAGACCTCAACTACTCTCATTAAAGGCAGGCTGTAAATAAAATACTGTGACTGAATAGCAAAAACAGCACAGTAAGGACCCTGGAGGGATGTTCACATACTACGTTATTGTCAGTTTACATATGGGAAATGATTAGATCTATTTTGTTTTACCTCAAAGGAAGAAAAGTTTTGCTCTTCCTTGGGCTTTTGCCAATGAAATTATTAGATGGGAATTTAGGGCATGGGGAGAAATCCTGAGGAACAGTGCACAAGTCCTTAATTTGTGGGTTTGTAGATCACCGCAGCCGGCCAAAGCCTTCCAGGTGACACCCACTTTCACTTGCTGGTGAGAACAACTTTTAAAAATAACATCAAAAGGAAGCAATCTGGTTTTGATATGACATAACTGAAAGTGACGTATCTTGAGAATGAAAGATTTAATACTGTTGATGGGATTACTAAATGTAATATCAAGAGAGACATTGGACAGTGAGTTTCTAACACAGTTGCTTTGTTTGAATGATGAGATGCAGAAAACAGAAGTGACATGCTCATGCTAACATATACAGTGAATATCTAATCTGAGAATAGAACAGAACTTCATTGGGATAAGAAGAAAAAAAAAACACAGAAATCATTAGAATGCATTCAACAATGATATAAATGTTGCCAAAAATGACTGAAAACATAATGAAGTACTGACTCAGGCACTTTTGACTAACACTAAAACAGCTGAGTTTTGGAGTCAGAATGCTTGGGTTTGAAACTCAGCTCTAGTACCCTAGTACCTGCTATCTCGGTGACCTTGAGGAGTCAATTTACTTAACCACTGTCAGTCTCAGTTTCCTCCTCTGTAAAATGAGGACAATATTAATACTTGACAGTCCTCAAAAAAAAAAAAAAAAGTCCTTAGAAGCTCACGGCAGGGCAGAGATAGGGTAAGGGCAAATAGACTGAGTGAATGGCATATAGGTCAGAAAGCCACTTTTTTATATTTTTAATATTTCAATATCTTTGCAAAAGAATACTATTCTTAGGCCATGTGGTCCGACGGAGAAAGTGGGTGAGGTCTTTTTGCACAGCTCATAAGCCACCACAGAGATAAAATACAAGACATAAGATAAGGTGACTTGAACTATCCAGACATGCAGAAGTCTTATTCAACTGGTGATACAACAATTGAAAAGCTCTTGACTTTCTTGCTGACAATTTTATATCACAGAAAAAACATTTTAAAGGAAGAGAGGAAGGGAAAACACTTAAATTCTCCATGTTTCAGGACTGTCTGGCTTACTGCAGAGCAGTTAACCTTCCTGGTGGCCAGTGGCATACCCCCACGTTGTTTCATCAACCCCAGCTGAGAACCATGGCGCTTGGAACTAAAAGACTGCTCTGAAGTTAGTCTTTCCAACAAACAAAATGGATTGGTAATGGATAAAATGGAGAACTGTGCCTCTAGGAATATCTGTACAAAACAAACGGTTCTGTGGCCAAACGCATTTGGAAAACACCACGTAATCAGCCATGTTTAGATTCCTAATGCCTGCTATTGGCATGACAAATGGTCAGAGAAGTCTAAGAGCAGGAAACCAAGTAAGAAATATTTAAAAAGGGAAAACTCTTTTTTTCCATATGCCTCTTAAGATGTACTCTTCCTATGACCCCTTTCACATTTCTGCTGTAACTGTGTTCGGTTAGCAATTTAAAATGAGCTTCTCTGCAGTTTTTAAAATATTTAAGAAAAAGTATAAAATAATTCTAGTGTAAAAAAAGACAGATCAAGGGGCACCTCCGTGGCTCAGTTTGTTAAGCATCCGACTTCAGCTCAGGTCATGATCTAACAGTTTGTGGGTTTGAGCCCCGTGTCAGGCTCTGTGCTGACAGCTCAGAGCCTGGAGCCTACTTCAGATTCTGTGTCTCCCTCTCTCTCCTCTCCCCCACTCAATCTCCATCTCTCTCTCTCTCTCTCTCTCTCTCTCTCTCTTTCTCCCTCAAAAATAAATAAACATTAAAAATAATTTTTCTTTAAGAGAAAAGAAGTCAAGAAAGTAGTAGAGGAACTCCAACTCTTCCACTATTTTTTTTTTTAATGCAAAAGGAATGTAGTATTTTAAGATTCTTTCCTCTGATCCTTTAAACCAATCACAAATTCCCTGGGATGTCCACAATTGGTCAGTTTATTTTCTGAATGGCCAC